CCCAACAGCAACAGTGTAGGGATGAGCACGAAATACTGTAAATTAAATGTTGAATGGCGATTCATGCAGGGAAAGAACATATCAATATTCGCATATTCATTCAAAAACATGAAAATTCTTAATGGAGTACCCTCATTTTTTATTGAATTCCTAAAAAATAATATTTATAATGAATTTTAATAATTTTTTCGAATTTTTTTTAAGCTTTATTCTGACCGATTCATCCGATTCTCGATCAGGATCGCCGATTCGCCGATCCGGATCTGTTTTTTGGAAACCTGATCCGGGTCACCGATCCGTTTTTTAAACCATTGGTTTAAATAGTACTTGGACGAGTGACTACACTATGTACTGTACATGTCACAATTTACTCTTTCTTTTCATTTTTCAAGATTGGAGCTGCATGAACATCGCACGGTTGTAGATGTTCATACGACTACAACACGGTGACTATAAACAAACGGGCGGTACGCTCTCTCAGCTTGCCAATATACGATAAACAAATGACTGCTTGTCTTAGATTCTAGCCATTGTAGATAGCCGGCTTGTGCTGTTCACCTTTTGTTAATAAAGGGCCTGCTTGGGATTCCTTCAGTCGCAAGCCAATTCATTAGTAACTGGGCGGAGCGACTACTCTTCTAAAGGGCGGGCAACTAATACGTGGGCCACAAATCCAAGTAGTTCTTGGACACATCCATACAATTCTTAAAGGGTGCGGTTTCTATAAGGTTGCAACATTAAACAATCCAATTAAAGCGCACTTTAAAATTTTAACATGTAATTTTGATGTAAAAAATTCTTAGTATTGTCTTAAAATCTATTTTCATACCTAATTAGAAGATTTTAAATTCCTAAAATGGTTAAAATTAGGTAGATCTATAAATATATGAAAATCTTGAAAGTGGACGGTCGAGATAATGTGTTGCAAGATGCACTATTTATGAGATTCAAAAGCTTTTTTTTTTTATATTCATAGACCTCGATGTCGAAATGATTGATTAGACGGCTTTTTCAACATTAAAACAACATTTTCGATGAATTTTTTAGATGCACATGTGATTCTACATTTTAAGGTTGCAACCTTATATAAACTTTTCCCATTCTTAAATATGGTATATTAGATGTATTATTTTGTTGATATATAAATAATGAGCCACTTCTAACATCTTTGTCTATGGGATAGTAGGTAGGGTGGCCACATTGGATATCAACTCATCCAAGGATCACATCCCTCTTGGGCAAGGCTTTTATTTTTATTAAATAAAAGACGCAAGCTACAACATTCTCATTTTAAAAAAACAGAAAGAAAATAAAACATTTAACAACGATGGTACATGGGCTGATGTGACAGACTCTCTTAATCAACACATAGACTTCAAATCCTTTCAATCTCGGTTTATAAAATAAAAAGAACTCTCTTCGTCAAGTTCAAATCCTCTCAATCTCGTTTTATAAAATAAAAAAAACTCTAGAATATGGTACTTATTAAAAAAGAAAAAAAAAGAAAAGAAAAATATACACAACAATGGTGGGTGCTCGTTGATTGATGAGACATTATACACCTAGCAACCCTGGTTCAAAATCTGTTGGGTTTGCCTTGAAAGAAAGAAGATGCCGAGGCCGTAATGACGTTGGAAGTGTCGACACCTACTAGGTGCAAGAAAAAAATAAATAAAAAAATGTACGTAAAATCCTAAATATAAAAAATTTGGTTTGTAATAAATTTTTTAATATTCTTTACACCAAGGTAAAGATTAGAAATTATTTTGGTCATTAATACTCACTTTTAAATTTTTCTATTTTTTTCGAAAATTTTTAAAAATACTCTTAGGCACAAATCAAAATCAATTTCTTCATTAATTTTCAACTTCATTTGAATGTGTTTTGTTTTAATCATTCTTTACATGTTTTTTGTATTTAAGTAGATGTTTTTGTATTTTTTTTATCTTTTTCAATAATTTTTTGACCACCAAGGTCTTGTCCGGTTAGAACGGTTCAATCAGTTGATTTACCGGTTAGACCGGTTAAACCTCTTCCGACCCCATATCCGGTTAACTATTTCAATTTGATTTTGCGAACACAGGCCACAACATACAACACCAAGCCCTTGGAGGAGTGTCGAGGTAACATTAGATTGGAGGCCCTAGTGAGTGATTTGAGCCTTGTGTCTTTAGCAAAATTGGAAGAATTTAGCTATATTAGAAGAATTAAATTTGAGAAAAAACTTTTAGGTTCAACGGATTTCAGACATAAAAAAATTTGGCCAAGTTTTTGCGAAACTGTGATTTCTCGCAATGGATAGTCAATCTTCAAGGAAATTCAATGCCTAAGCCTATTTTTCTTTTCATCCATTGATAGGCTTGATTTTCAACCAAAAAAAAAAAAGAGGTTCTAAGATATTTCAAATTCTGATTTATTATTCATCTAAATTTTTCCAAAGATCAGATCTCCTAAATCCAAACTTGAAAGGCAAATTTAGTTTGCCGGTTTTTATTGCAGCGATGTAAGGAAGCTTTGACAAGGAGGCTTCATTTCCAATCGAGTGCGAATATCGAGGGGATCATCCTTGTAATTTTGGGTATGTTTCACTTTTTCAAAATTCATAAA